ACCAGCCTGTATCTCCCAGATCAGCCTGAGTGAGGAAGAATCAAAGGAAAAGAGGGCCAAGAAGGGAGGAAGACAGAGAAGAGAAACGACAGAGAAAAGACCAGAGAGATGCAGGGAGGGGAAAAGGACTAGAGGGTGAATGAGTGTCCAGGGGTGGCCAGAGGAAGGCTTGGGAGCTTGGAGGTTGGCCAGGAAACAAACACACATTTACCCGGTAGTGCAGATCGCTGAAGGGAAGGAGGGGAGGAGAAGTGAGCAGAGGGTATTAGACAAATGCTAAACCCAAGCCCAAAGCAAAGAGGCGGATGAGATACCATAGATGGTAAAAGGGAGCTCCTGAGAAGATTAGAAAATGGAGTTTAATAGGAGAGTTTAACAGCCGGGCGTGGTGGCTCACGCCTGTGATCCCAGCACTTGGGAGGCTGAGGCAGGAGGATTTTTGTGAGTTTGAGACCAGCCTGGGCTACAAAGTGAGCTCAAGGCCAGCCTGAACTGCATAGAGAGACTGCCGAGACAGAGAGAGAGAGAGAGAGAGACAGAGAGAGAGAGAGAGAGAGAGAGAGAGAGAGAGAGAAGCAGTACAACAAATAAAAAGAAAGCCATGAACGTGAATGGTGATTAAACAGACCCTTGCTTTCTGCAGTTATGTGCACTCTTCAGAAGGTTTTTGTGCATTGCTTGGATATCAATTCCATCCCCAGCACATGGAGGAAGCTCACGCTTCAAAGAACTGTTCTGAGGAAAATTCACTGCAGTCCCACGCACCAAAGACACACTACTGGTCTGTGAGTCACACTCTGAGGCTTCTAATCTGGAGCCTCACCCCAGGACACCTTGCCATGGGGTAAGCCAACAGGAGTCCTGTGTCTGGGGCCCCGTGGTGTAAAGGAAACAACACTCTTGGAACCTGGATAAAGGTCTCGGGCAGTCAGGGTGAGAGACCCTGCGTCTGGGCTCAGAAAGGCCAGCTGGGAGAGGAAAGGCACTGTCCCAGCAGAAGCCTGCACCTAACCCCGGGCAGAGGTGGTTTCTAAGAAGAAAAAAACCCCACAGTAGCACGTGGGACATGGGCTTCAGAGCTCATTGAGCTTTGAGACCAGAAAGACAGAAGAACTCTGGTGACCACAGAGACTCGGACACTGGTGTCCCTCCCTCTCCTAAATAAAAAAAAAAACAATATTATTTGGCCAAAGAATGGGGCCACTGAGTTGGAAATGGTTTTACAACTTGGAATCCCAGGAACCAAATATTTATAATTGTCTCCAAAGTTGAGGGGCTGCAGTAACAAAATAAATGGCTCTATTTAGTCAAAGAGGACCTTCGATATCAGTAGGGAGCTTGGGTGTAAATTCTCAACTTAATATGTGCTTGTCAGGTAATCTCTCCCATCAAAACTTTAAGTAGGTGTCTTTATCTTCTACAAGTACTTTTGGCAGGTGGCTTTCTTTGGGTGCCATTGCACCCCATAGAGCAGTATTTTTCCCTGATGGGAATTATTAGGGATGCAGAACCACAAAATTGATCTCAGTTTGCACCCTGGGGTGCCAGCTGGGCTCACTTGTGAGTTTAAAGATTTTTTCTCTGTGCTCATTAGTTTCATTGAGGGATTTTTCAAGTCCAGGCAATAGCAAAACCTGACAGCTTATGAAGTCATGAAACATTGGGTCGCTCATAAATGTCAAATCCACAAAAGCTAAGGGTCTGTGGTATTGGGTCCTGAGCTCCAGGAAGGAGACTGTTATCGGTAAGGTTCCTGATTTCATCTCTGTTTTCCTGGTCCCCAGGACAGTAACAGGCTAGAATGTATATGTCCTCCATCTACTTAGGAAGTGGATAGATGGATGGATGGGTGGGTGGATGGATGGATGGATGGATGGATGGACAGATGGGGTTTGTGTAAGATATAAATGAACTACTCTTTCCAACTCAGTAAGGAGCCTAGGAAGCTGTCTTTCTAGACAACTCTGTCATGTTACTTTAGGCATAAGAAAATTCCTCACTTCTTCCCAATAAGTACATTTCAAAGATGCTGCATTTTGTGCATGTTTGCAATTTATTCATTTTAAGAGCTCTTTAAAATTGGTAAATTTTTCTCTTTATTCTGGAGTACTATGAGCATACATTATTATATTTTTAAAAGACTCCAAAAGCTTAACTTATAGTCCCCAAGCTCTCTATAGATCTCCTTTGGCTCATTTATATATTTTTCCAATTGCTAAGAGAAAAGAGGAGCATGTATTTTTTAAAGGGTGTTTGAAAACATGTCTTGAAAAACACCTTTGGCGAGTTTTCAGGGATAGTTTCTGAAAATTGTTCCAATAAGGTAATATCACACACCCAATTGCTCAGCAATCAGAATTAGCTCTGACAAAGAAGGAGGGTTTTGAAAGCGAACATGAGAGCTGGACCAGGAGTAGGCCACACCGATACTCATGATGCTTCTGGAGACTTGGGGAATCACAGCAGCTTCCCCCCCTTCCCCAAGACCCCATCTTCACCTGGAAGTGCCTATCCCTCCACAGGGCCATCCAGGGCTGTGGGGAGCACTGCCCCCTTTGCCCATTCAGTCATGTAAGCACAATCACCACCTCAGATCACCAATGTAGTGGTGGCGATTGAAAGGTCCTTTGAGTGGCAATGGACACCCACCGTGTTCCAGCACCACAAGATATTTTACTGGAGCTAAGCTCAGGACATTTGTGGCAAGTCCGGGCTAGATATCACTGGTAGTAACTAGTGATGCACTGGAATACTGTGGACCCTCGGGCTGTGTCTGTGGGCTTGTGAGCAGAAGGTAAACAGTCGTGAACCCCCTTACCACCATCCTCACCACCCAAGCAGGGCTCCCTACCTTACATACGGATTTGGGAGGGAGGATTGGCTTTTTTCTTTCATCTGTATGTGTTCTTGCAGCATGCAAAGGTGAAGGAAGTATATCCAAAGGCTGACATACATCCACTTGGTAAAGTCACCCCCAGAGATCTCCAGAACAATGATAAAGCACCCAAGAGGCAGCCCCTTTCTGAGCCTATACATTAAGCCATTAAGAAAAGTGCCCCAGCCAGGCATAATGACACATGTGACATTTCAGCACTGTAGGAGGCTGAGGCAGGAGGACTGCAAGTGCCAGGACCTCATAGGACAATACAGCAATTCAGTGAAACTCTGTCCCAAAATAAAAATATAAAGGGGGCTTGGAGGATGTGGCTCAGTGGGAAGAGCCTGGGTTCACTCTCCAGGACTGTAAAAATGAGCAACAATAAGACTCTCTTATCCCAAATCTTAAATCTAGCTCATTACTGACATCTAAAGTAAATGGACTCCAAAGAAAAGGCAGAGGTGGTTGTGCAGAGGTTCGTCCAGGTCAAAGCCCATTTTGACAGTGATCGTAAGAATCACAGAGATATGGTCACCATTGTAGCTCAGCAAGAATGGAGATGGCTTTTTTAGAGAGGTTGGGAAGTCGTGCAAAGCTGGCGTCACAGTGAAATGTCACACTTTCCACTTGAACTTCCATTTCTTAAGCACCAATGCTTTGTTCCTGGAGAAGTGTCCTCGATGCTACAAAGGCCCCACCTGAGACGCACGTCTGCCAGGCACCCCTGTTCCTTCCTGTCCGTCTCTCCGTGCTTAGCTGGACTCATTAAAATACAGAACTCCTGGTCCAGGGAGACTGAAAATCAGCTCTTCCCAGCCACCAGCCTGAGCCTGGCTTTCTGCAGAAGCACAAGGCTCTCTCCACAGATTGCAGATTTACATGGTAAAAATAGAAACACAGGGCATCACATGTGTATGCAAATTTGCCAACCAAACTCAGTGCTGAAAATAGTTATTTACTATTTGGCTTGCATATTGGCCCAGAAAACCCTCTATACCTATTTCATGCTCATTTAAATTCTTTAAGAGTTCCTGACCCATTTAAATTCCTTGAGGGATGCCTGGCTTCACATGATCGTTTGTCTGCTCGTCTCCCAGCCATCCTGAAAGAAACACTGTCTGCAGTAGCAGATTGGATGTGGGAGAGATAGATTGGCCCCACTTTCTTAGGTCCAGCCTGGCCCCTGGTTAGGCACCAGTGACCTCGGAGGTAGAATCACAGCCTCCTTCTTGAGAGATGCTTTGGGTGCAGTGAGGAGGGCTCCTAAGAGAGACAGCTGGGTGATTTGGAGAACAGCTCGCCCGGAAGTCTGGCTCTTAGGCACCCCTGGCAGAGTCACCTGAATGTGAGGAGAGGGTGTGGCTTATATAAAATAGAGCTCTTGGGTCCTGCTCAGAACCGCATGATTGGAATATCTGGCGGTGGGAGACTGGATTCCTGGGGCTGGGACTCCAGGTTTTTGGCAATGGGATTCACTTTGGATACTGCTTCTCAGGAAGCTCACTGCTACATGTGCTGTTGAAGCAAACACCCAAAGAGCGTGCTAGGATGATCTCAATGGACTCCAAGGATTGGGGAGCTTTTCCTAAGAAACCACCTCAAGATCCTGACAATGTGCTGTTCAGAAGCTGGAATCTACTGATGGCTGGGGAAGGGTAGAGGGCACCATGGGTCTCACCGAGCGAGGACACCAGCATGGTGTAGAAAGGTGTGAGGCAGCAGAGGTGACCTTCCATGTCTCAGTGTACACTGCTGCCCACATCAGCAGTTTTGCAGGAGATATTCTGTCACTCACAGGAAGACCCCTGTCTGTAATGGCAATATGCAAACTGCTTCCGGTGCTCGCGGGCTGTAAGAAAGGATATCTCTCTCTCTGCACTCAGGGACAATGACTTGGTAGATTTTGGGTGCTAAATCTGGACATTGCACATTCAAACCCTGGCTCTACCACACACCAGTGATTTGAGTTTGTCAGCTCTAAGTGACATGAGTAGCAGTCACTGGATGATAAAGTTCTGCGACATACCTGGGGTGATGCCAGCCAAACAGTGAACCCCTAATAAACAGTGGTTTTTAAATAAATTCACTCATGCCCTCTTAACTTCACAATCTTCTAGGGATCTCCCAGAAATCCTTCCACATGTGGAAAGAAGTCTGGTTTGGAAAACAAGACTCTGATTGGAGATGAAGCCCAGAGAAGCTACAGAGCCTTTACGGAGAAGTCCTCTTCATTGTGCTCCAGCAGGGAAGAGAAGGACGCCAGGAATCCTCCCGCTCGGAGGTACCCCATCATGCAGACACAGCTAGTTCGTGTATAAATTCAGTCACTTCCTAGCAGGTCCTTAGTAAGTCTGGCCACACACCATTTCTCATCTCAGCTTTAAATATATTTGTCATATCATTATATTGGCACACACCTCCCCCTCCCTAACACATACACAGGGACAATAAAGCTTCGTATCATCACTGCCCTCTAACCACAGACACCTGCACAGGTCAAGACACACCTGACATATCTATCTAGACAGATGCACTCATTTTCATGGGGAGCACAACTGGCCCAGAGCAATCCAAAGCACCCCCCCACACACTGTTGACACCTGAACGGCCCCCCAGTGGCGTGGCACTCATATCTGCCCTCCCATGGCTGCACCCGCACACCCCAGCGCCCAGGGCACTGCCTTTCATGTGTGTGCCCTGTCAATACAACTGCACAGATGCCCTTGGCGGTCCCCACCTATCACTGACGAGTTCCCAGGACTACAGCACGGCTCTGGCTCCCTGTAAAAACCAAAACAAAACACTTTAAAAACCCATTAAACACTGAAGCCAGAAGTGAGCTTTCCCCGTGTGTCATGTCAGCAGGCTGTGGAATAAGAGAGAGAGCAGGGGGCATGAACACAAATGAACATTCCAGAAATGGCTTTGTTGTCCTCCACGTACTCTGGCTTTTTTTTTTTTCCTTCGGCAACAACAGAAATCTGCGAAATGACTGAGGGTGGTTAATTAAGCATTGCAGCCCATATTCTGCGGCAGTTTCAATTGGATATGGTGTTGTCTTTCACTTCCTGTTATGCAGGATTGCAGGGCTGTTAGACACCTGCCGCGCTCCCGGCCCAGCTGCTGCTCTGCCCTGCATGGGCTGGGAGGAAGTGATCAGCCTCGAGAGGGGCTTGCTCTGCACACCAGTCCCTACCGGGTGAGGCGGAGGCCGGCGGACACAGCTGATGCGAGGCCACACTGGCAGCTTGAGGACCGGCAGCTGGCAGTGAAGACCTCGTCCTATTGTGAGGGAGGTGTCAAGAGGCCCACTGTTTTCTCCCAGAGCCCCACACCCCAAGTCCTGCTGCAACCTGAGTGTAATTAAAGCTGGAGCTGTGAGACAGGCTGGAATCAGATGTTATTCTCTGGCTTGCTGGGATCCCTACACACTGGGAGGGGGGCTGCGTGCAGAAGCATGCACTTGCTTTTGGAGCTGTTCATTCATTCATTCACTCACCCCTTCATTTATTTTTTAAACAGAAAAAAGAGAAGGGGGGAGCAGGATATACAAGGCGTGATCAAAATAGATAGTTAAAAATGCATTACACTAAAGGCGCGTCGCCATGAATCCCCTGTGAAGTACCCCCCGTTGCTTCAAACACACTTCTCCTACTATGCTTGAGGCTTCCCCAAGTACTTCTGGAAGTCTGCTCTCATGAATGTCTTTATGAGGTGTGATAAAAAATGGTGAACGCTGCAGATAAGTGCCAGCCATGGAGAGGCGGGCTCCTAAGAACATTCCAGAGCATCCGCATCCGCCTCATCCATCAGCTCTGCACTGTGTGGCTGCTCACTCTTCCACGGAGGGGAAGTGTTCTGAGCGGATTCAGGAAACACAGAGAGCCGCTGTGGCACTCACCAAAGGTGACTTCCGGAGGACGTCCCAGGAGGGGATCAGTGACACTCTGTCTTTTATTGTAATAGTATTATAAAAAGTCAACATTCATGATATCTTCCCCTTTGTACCACCTAAACTCAGGTCTCCAAGGGGTTGGGTTTTACTGATGCATAGGTCAGGGGAGGCCAAGGAAGGATGTGGATACCAGCCTAAAGAGGTCTTACTTGGTTCTTAAAATTATGAGGGAGCTGGGCGTAGTGGCGCACTCCTGTAATCCTGGCACTCAGGAGGCTGAGGCAGGAGGATTGCTGTGAATTTGAGACCAGCCTGGGCTTCAAAGTGAGCTCAAGGCTGAGACTTCAGGAGAAAGGAAATGGTACAAGAATACAGCCAGGTGTCTCTGCTGGCAGACCCTGTGGCCTCTCACTGTGAGAAAACACACAGAAGTGAAGGTATGAAGTTGGACAGAGATGCTGAGAGACGCTGATTTAATCAGACAATATTTCTAGACCATCCGGAGCATGTGCCTGAGACACATAAATGAATGTGTGATGACTATGACCATCCCATAGGACCCTCCAACAGGGACACATGATTTTCATGAGGTTTGCCTTGCAGCCTAAAGGGCATCTAGCACCCATTTCTGGGAGGCAGAAACTGAGGCTTACAGAGGCCACATCTTTCTTCCAAGGTGTTGTTGCTCTTGGATAGCAGAGAAGGGTTGGGTTCCACGTGTTCAGCCCATCAAGGTCACTATCTTAGTGGGCTGGCTGCTCAGGGTGACTAGGAACCAGGACACTTGTTTCTCAATCCCCGTGCAGTCACAAGTCTGAGACCCCACAGAGAGGGAAGCTACTTCCAATCAGATAAAGGAGTTATCTCCCCAGCAGCTCCGTACAGAGGGCAGGGTAGGTGACAAGACCTGCTAGTATCTGATTGGAGATACGACAACCTTTACATATTAATTTCCCTTAAATCGTTAGGGCTTCGTGTACAATTATCTCTCTCTGGACTGGTTACATGGGTCACTGCTTCAGTGTCCAGAATGAAGAAACTTTTCTTTCTGAATACTCTCCTGGGTAGGGTGAGACAAGGCAATTCGGATCTGAGAGTGAGGGTTGGTTTTGCAGAGTGTTTAGCGTGGAGACTGAATTTCAGTCCAGGCCCAGCTCACTCACGGGCCTCTGTGCTTAGCACGGGTGTGCGTGTCTCCATTTCTTTCATTTAGAGTAATATATAGGAATTCTCAGCAGAGAATTTGGGCTGGATGGTTGTTGAGAGGGAACAGATCTCACGCTATCAGGTGCTATGTGACAGCTTTGAAAGGAGTCTCAGTCCTTCCTTTGGAAAGGACAATCCTGTCAGCTCCTGGTGCTAACTGCAGGTTTCTCTGATTATTGATCTTTAATCAGCTGCAGGAGAATCACAGAGGCCGTATTTCTAACCCCTCCCCAGGTGGTGGCCTGCACTGGAGTCCCCCCAGTGGATAAAGCTTGGGACCCTGAATCTTCCTTGTGTCCTCTGGGCTCTGGCCAGAAGGACACAGCGATTACGCAGGCTGGAGCGCAGTCAGGTCCCACAGCCCTGGGGAACTCGGATGTTGTCCACTTGTTGGCCATTATACCTCATGCCTGTCCATCACTTTTTCATTCTGTATGGCCGGGAAGTGACCACATCAAATGCCATTTCCTGCCCACTTCCATCCTGCTGGCCCTGGCCCTTACCAACCAACTTCCTGATGGATATGGAGGTCTGGGACTGGGAGGAGAGGGGAAGGGGAACTCTGCGCCCCTCTCCAGCTGTCAGCTCTGCTTCAGGTCCATAGCGCAGCCTGTCCTGTGTGGTCAGCTCCTCTGTGTACTGACTTCACCTTTTCCCTTTCATTCTCAGCTCCCCTGGCACCTTTGTGATTAGTTTTCCAGACTATATTTGCCCCGTGCACCGAGCTGAGGCTGTGTGCTGTTTTCCTGAATGGACTCTGGCCGATGCAGGAAGTAACAGCAAAAGTCGGATCATTGTAACAACTCTCTGGCTGCACACGAGTTACCGCGCTGCAAGTTTTATATGCATTTATTGTCTGTTACAGAGCGGTCTCCTGTGAGACGCTGGGCATAAGCCTGACAGTTTCGGATACAATGGGTGTGAGCAGTGGTGGTGCAGCCCTCCTGGGCTCCCTGCCTTGTGGGAGACTGCAGGAGTGGCATTTGGCCCCTGCAGGGAGGCAGACAGGGCAAGGGAGGGAGGGGCAGTACAGCTCTGTTCAGCGGGAGGCATTGTGTCCCTTCCAAACAGATGGGGAAACTGAGGCTCAGAAGGGAAAGATGACACCTCAGAAGCGTGCCCAGTCCCTAAAAACAAGGTGCTGAGATAAGGGTTTGCAGGCAGAAGACCCAGCTACTGTTGAGCTGGGCCCCTGAAGGACACATTGAGATCTTAACGTCTGGCACCTGCGAGTGTGACCTCCTTTGGAAATAAGGCTGTGAGAAGTCACAGGCAGAGGGAGCCTGGGGTGATGCAGCTGCCAGAAAAGGGACTGATGGAGCCACCAGAAGTGGGCCGAGGCAGGAGGGCTTCCCCAGTCCTCCTTCCTTGAGACTTCAGAATGCACATGGCCCTGCAGATACCTTGCTATTCAACTTCATGTCCCTAGAACAGCGGTAGAATAATTTGTGTTGCCTTAAATCTACAGACACGTTGTTTAGATGTCCAGGAACCTCGCACAGGTAGACAGAGCCCAGAGGCACGTATGGTTCAAATCATATCCTGTGGGCCCTAGGCCTGCTACTGAGCCACCCAGGGAGACCCCACCCCCCAGGGTACCTCGAACACAGGCTCTGCGGAGGAAGGGTGGGTTCAAGGGTCTTGCACACTCAGGCAAGGCTGGTTCTCTGAATACCCTTAAATCATTTGCATTATTTTCTCCAAACAGAGAGGGGAATAAAATTGGATTACGAGGTTTTAAAAATGCTTATTGCATGACGCGTATTTTCTGTACACTAACGATATTCCTGCATGTAATGTCATATTCTCTTGTTTATGCATGGAAAACTCGGAGGAACTTGTGATGCTGTCATTTGTCAAGCAAACCATACAGGACTCGCCCACATCCCCGAGTTAGGAAAGGCCAGGTGAGGTCTGAGCCGCAGCTGGTGCCGTCCAAGCCATGGCCCATGCACCTGGCGGGAAAAGGCCACCAAGTCTCAGGTGCCCACACTTTCCCCTTGATCGCTGTACTGGGGTTCACTGAGCAGGGCTGCTATTCTCCGGGAATGGGAAATGCCTATAGCAAATCCATCCCTGGATGTAGGACTCCAGAGCCACCTCTTCTATGCAGGTGACCACATCTCCCTGGCTTCTCCATAGAGAAAGAAACAAGAGGCAGAGAGAACCTAAGCGCACGGGGAGAGGCAGGTCTGACTCTATCTGAGACTGAGATCAGAGTGTTTCAGTCCTGTGTCCTCCACGGCTGGTAGGTCACTGCCCGGATGGGGCCCTGTGGAGAGATTCTCCTCACAGATTTTCTGCAATAGGTTGAGATATGGCGATTGTGCCAGAGGCAGTGGCCCCCGGAGTAATTGAGATTTCATCGCAATCTACCTGGGGATCTACAGCACTCGTGTGTGAGTGTTCTTTGGCATTTCTGAAGGGACTCGAATTCAGAGACAAAGCAATGCCTCCGCTCTTTGGAGATAATGTTGGGGTCATCTTATGGACACCAAGAGCTCCCAAATCATGCTGTCATTCGCAGGAACTGTTTTAGACATCCTCCTCTCAGACCCTTGTATCCTTGTCCATATTGAGGAATTGTGACACTCACAGCTGCTGCTGTAAGCCCCTGTGCCTGCGATCAAGGGTGCTGGTATGTGGTTCCTTTCCTGTGGAAGGTGCTCTCCAACTTGGGTCAGTGGGCAGCACGGTTACCTTGGACAGCCACTTCCTCCAACCTACAAAGCTGAAGTTGGCTTAGGTGCCCCTTGGTCCGGGTCACCAAGAGCATTTGCAAGTGGGAAATATTTCAGTAGGTGAGAAATTATCAGGAAGTGGTTATCTCACTCTGTCCTTGCCTCAATGCTTTTAGGTAAACATTCTTAACAGTTCACAGAGGAAATTCATCTTGGAGAATTTAAGGAACTATCATGCTGGATCCTGGCAAGAAGACGGACAAGTGTCTTGCTCCAAAGTCTACGCTTATCCAAGGGGCCAACCTTATCCTGAGCTCATCAGGGCTGAGAGAATGTGGCCCAGAGCTCCTCCTCTGGTGCCACCGAGATGCAGCAGTGGGCGAAGAGGAAACATTTCCACTTTGCCATCTGATGCTGCGTTCTGCGGGGTCCACCTGGCTCTCCCCTGGGAAAGGGGCCACTGCCCACTGTTCGGCCTTAGAAGGTAAGGCTGCTGTTGGAAACACTGCCAGCCGATGCATCTGTAAAGAAGCACTCTCAGTGCTTGTTTGGGGCTTGAAAAGGAATCTGTGTGTGTCAGGAAAAGAAACGTCCCAGGCTGGA